CCTGAGCTCACTCCATCAGTCTCCACTCACATCACTAATTTGCTAACAGACATATCAGACTGGATGTCACACCACCTCCTGAAAATCAATCTATCCAAAACTGAGCTTATAATATTCCCTCTCCTATGTGCCCCTTCTTCTGACTCCTCTGTCAAAATCAATGGCTCAACCATCAACCTGTCCCTGCATGTCAAGGTTCTAGGTGTAATCCTGGACTCTGAACTATACTTGTGGCCCCACATTCAATCACTGTCCAAAGCTTGCTACCTCAATCTCCGCAACACCTCCAAGATATACCCCTTTCTAACCAATGACGCCCCAAAGCTTCTAACTCACTCCCTGGTCATGTCCCACCTTGAACACTGCAACTCCCTCCTCACTGGCTTACCTTTACATAGGCTATCCCCCCTCCAGTCCATCATGAATGCTGCTGCCAGGCTCATCCACCTTACCAATCATTCAGTGTCTGCCACTCCTCCCTGCCAATCCCTCCATTGACTTATGCTCACACAACAAATGCAAGTGTCAGGGATCTCCACGATCCCCACAGCGATGGTCCCGGCGCAGGCGCAGTGCACCGCCCTGTGCAGGGACACGGGCACTAGGTCCGCTGGGCACCAATGGCAGCGCAGGGTGGGATATTTAAATGGCCCTGAGCTGTCATTCAGTGCCTTCTGGTCTTACCTGCATCCTGTATCCTGCGAACCTGTGCCCTGTAAGTTTTTGACCCGGATTGTACCTGACCTTGCTATATTCTCCTGTCCTGACCCTTGCTTTGCCTGACCTCTCTCCTAGATGCCCCCTATTGGACTTGACCTGCTGTTGCTGACCTGGCGTGTGACCCGACTATTCTCTGCCCCCTGCCTTGTACCTTACCGTCCTCTCTGTTACCGACCCGGCCTGTCTGACCTTGCTCATCCATCCATCCCTCACAGTGGGGTCTTCAGACCTCCTCATATCAGACTCTTTTCCGTGGGAGCCCTCGGCGCATACCACTACCACTGATGGACGTACCCAGTAGCCACGACCTGGTCTCGGGGTGCTCCAAGTCCATCCCCACCATCAGGGGCAATGGTGAACAAGCACTCTGGGACTTAGATTCCGTGAGCTGGGGACGTCTATTCAGTGGAGTGCTAGTGGTACCGCCGGGCGGTCCCTTACAGCAAGATACTTACAACAACCTATAAAGCCATCCACAACTCCCAGCTGCATCATTAACCTTGTTTCAAAATAGCAAACAAATCATTCTCTTCGTTCCTCAAAGACTTCCTGCTCTCTAGCCCCCTTGTCATCTCCTCTCATGCTCGCCTCTAGGACTTCTCCAAAGCTGCTCCCATCCTCTGGAACTCCATTCGCTAATGTGTCTGACTACCTCCTACTCTGTCCACGTTTAGTGGAAACTCATATCTTCAGGGAGGCCTATCCTGCCCCCACCTAGCAACTGTACATGTATTTTCTCCATCAGCCCATCCCCCACAGTTATTACCTTTTGTATTAAGTCACCCTCTCTCTTAGATTGTAATTCCTAACGAGCATGGCCTTCTGATCCCTCCTGTATTAATTTGTATTATAATTGTACTGTCTACCCTTATTTAAAGTGCTGCCTAAACTGTTGCTGCTATATAAATCCTGTATATTTATAATAATAATAAGTGTAAAATATTGGCATTCATACCAATTCCTGCTGCAAAACGTGGCCCCATGGAAACTTATTACATCACATTATGCAATGTTCCAAGTAAAGAAGATTTTGGGATTGGGTTGTCACAACCCTTAGTTGCATTCTGGGCAGTGACCTTTTACTTGTATCTTGGGACACTATGGAATTGATTTGCTAAAGGAATTAAGCATTTTCACTTTTAACTTTTGCAAGAGTATTTTCACTCAGCTTATTGATTAAGAGGAAGCTGTGCAGAATTCTATCAATCGTATGCAAGAAAAAAAATCATTTTTTTTTCCCTGTATGTGATGGGTATTTTTTAGAAAATTAATTTTCACCACATTCACTAAGCCATGTAAAAGTTCCCTTACAAACTGCAGGCATTTATTTTTACTTTTACACTGCTCCCCCCTCCCAGTACACAGCAACTTAGCTGTGATTAACCACCTCAACACTGGACACTTTCACCCCCTCCCTGCGCAGGCCAATTTTCAGCTTTCAGCTGTCACACAGTAATGCAACATTGTACCTATCTGAAATTTTTATATTTTTTTTTAGACAAATAGAGCTTTTGTTTGGTGGTATTTAATGAACACTGAGTTTTTTATTTTTTTGCGACATAAACAAATAAATACCACAAAATTGGGAATAAACACTTTTTCTGAGTTTCTGTTATACTGTAAAATTTTGCAAATAAATAATCTTTCTTCATAAATTTAAACCAAAATTATTATACTACATTTTTTGGGTAAAAATAACCCAAATCAATGTATACTGTTTAGTCTGTGTGAAAGTTACAGAGTCTACAAACAATGGAATATATATTTGAAAATTGATCAGTCATGACTGCCTCCATCTAATTTCATGAGGCCCCAAAATACCAGGACAGTACAGATACCCCCCCAAATAAACCCTTTTTGGAAAGTAGACAGTTCAAGCTGTTTAGTAAGAGGCATGGCAAGTCTTTTGAATTTGTGATTTCTTTGTCACACTTTTTTGAAAAATTTAAAAATTAAATACATTTTTTCCCCAAAAAGTTGACCTTTTAACAAGCTTTTACTTCCACACAGCATAGGCATACTTATAATTACATTCCAAAAAACATTCTTATATGTCTACTGAGTAGAGGGATACCACATGTGTGAGACTTTTTTTACACCCTAGATGCAGAGAGGGTCCAAAATCCAAGAAGCATGTTTGGGCTTTCAAGGAGCATAAATTATGCATCTAATTTCCTGACTACCTATCACATTTTTGGAGGCACTGGAGCACCAGGACAGCAGAAACACCCATAAAATGACCACATTTTGGAAAGCAAGTACCCCAGGTTTTTTTAGGAAGCATGGTGAGTCTTTTGAAGACTTCATTTTTTGACACAGGGTTTAAGAAAATGCAGAAAGAAAATTAAAATTAATTTTTTTACTCCAAGTTGTCAATTTAATAAGATATTTCTCGCACACAGCATGTGCATACTTGAAATTACACGCCAAAACACATTCTTCTACTCCTTCTGAGTATGGGAAAACTACATATGTGAGACTTTTTCACTATCTGGACAGAATTGTGGTCAATAAACAGGCCAGGGTCATAACAGGAATTAGGCAACACTGCATTTGTGTGACAGTGATCAGGAACATTGTTGCTGGCTGCACTGGTCTGGTGACACTGGGGATTAGTGTGGCAATCATCAGGAAAACTGCTGCTGACTGATACTGGTCAGATGACTCTGGGACTGGTGTAGCAACAATCAGGGACACAGTTGCTGGCTTACACTGCAGTACTGACACTGCAACTGGTGTGGCACTTACCAGAGACACTGTAACTGGTGTGGTGGTAATTAGGGACAATGTGACTGGTGTGGCAGTGATCAGAAAAATTGTAACTGGTGTAGCAGTGAACAGGGATAATATGACTGTGGGCAGTGATTATGGACAAAATGACTGGTATGATGGTGATCAGGGACAATATGACTGGTGTGGCAGTGATCAGGGACAATATGACTGTGGGCAGCGATTAAGAACAAAATGACTGGTGTGGTGATGATCAGGGACAATATGGCTGGTGTGGCAATAATCATGGACAATATGACTGGTGTGGTGGTGATCAGGGACAATATGACAGGTGTGGCAGTGATTAGGGATGTGGTGGTGGTTGGGGACAATGATTGGTGGCAGTGCAGTACGATGTCACCATAGTGTAAGGCCCCTTTCACATGGGATAGTTTCCACCTTCGATCTGCTAGCTCAGTGGGGAATCTGTCCGCTGATCCCCACTGAGCAGGAGGTGATAGGTCTGTGTGTCAGAAACAACCTGTTCTCCTCTATGGGCTGTTGGATGTAAACAGACTGTCTGTCCGTTTACACCTGATTTCCATTCAATTCCATCCACCCAGGCAGAGGGGAACGGATCCCCATCCTTTTGATTTTAGCAGATCGTATTGAATATACAATAATAAAAAAACACAAAATCGCGCTTAGGTCTAATTTAAAGTCTAAAGGTGGAACCCACACTAGAAGCTAGCACAATATTGCCGGTTACAATACATATATAGCATAAATAGATAAGAAGTGCAGCGCTGAAAAATAATATACCCTAAAACAGAAAATCAATCCAAAAAATTTCACATGTATAATATAAAGTCCAATAATAAAGAAACAGCATAGATCCAATGAATGTCCAGGAAAATATCAGAAGGAAAGATCCTTTACCAACACCAAACACACTGTCCCTTACCAGATGGTTTTTACCCCCAAAGGAAAGGTCAATATATGTTGTATGTTTCCAGGAAACAATTGCTGGACTGAATGTACTTCATAGAAATTTGTTCTTCAGAATAAAACTCATAACGAATACACCTAGAACTCATGTAGCCTTATAAAGGGTATTCCAAAACAAAAAAAGATGAAAATCATCATCATGGTTTTGTAAATTATACCCATTTAATATAAAAAATACTAATGCACGTACATAATGTACTTTAAAAGCAGCATGTCACCATAACCACAATATGTTTGTTTCAAACCGATAAGATGGCCGAGACATTCTGGTGCGCGATGGCATCATATGCTCTGGCTCCACCACCAAATCTAATAGATGTAGATGGGTGTAAACTGTCCATTTACACCCATGCATCATAGAGGTGAATGGAGGGTCCGATCGGGTCAGCCTGAAAAACAGAAAAGCAGACTTGATCAGACTGCCTGTGTGAAAGGGGCCTAAAAAATTCTATCTATCTATATATACTGTATATATATATACTGTATACATATACACTACATTGCCAAAGTTATTGGGACACCCCATCCACATCATTAGATTCAGATGGCCACAGGTGTATAAAATCAAGCACCTAGGCATACAGAGTTCTTCTACAAACATTTGTGAAAGAATGGGTCACACTCAGAGCACCGTGCGTGGTACCATGATAGGTTGTCACCTGTGCAATAAGTCCATCCGTGAAATTTCCTTGCTATTATATATTCTACGGTCAACTGCTAGTGGTATTATAACAAAGTGGAAGCAACTGGGAGCAACAGCCCCAAGTGGTAGGCCATGTAAAATGACAGAGCAGGGTCTGTGAGATGGGGAAACAGCTCTCATTGTTTGAACACTGTTTGTGTGGAATTAAATTAATGTTTTGACTGACATTCTGCTGTTTAGCCACAAGATGTCACTGGTTTTCTAACACAGCCTCAGACTGCATAGATATTTGTATATTCATAAAGAGGTGGGGTTTTTTGCACACAGAGTTGGAGAGAACAGGAAGGAGAGAGAGAAGCCATGTTTTGGAGCATGGTGAATAAGGGGCCCTGTGAGCTGAGAATCTGATGACATCCAGGTGTGAAAGCTTCCCTCTGTAACCAGAGCTGCAGCTAAGTGAAGCTGATGAGATTGCTGCCAGGAAGCTGATGAGATTGCTGCCAGGAATCAATCCTAATCATTGGAAGGACTCCACAACGTAAAGTGACATTTCACATTGGAGAGCTAATAAAATCCTACAAACTCAAGCCAGACTGGCGTTTTGCTCAGAAGGAATACTCAGGCACATGCTAGAGGACCAGTTATGGGAGAGGGAATACTGTAGATTTGTGTAAGATTGTAAACTGTTGTGCTGCACCGCAGCTAGCCCATACCATACACCCATACACTGATTCCTGCTCTTTTAGGGTAATAACAGGTAAGGTGTGGCAGCTTAGTTGTGCCCGCCTGTAGGTAAATTACTTCACTTTCTACCTTCATCCACCAGAAGGCACTGTGCTGTGCAGCACAAGGGTCTCAGCCTTTGGGCTGGGTGTATGTAAATTTATTGTATGTTTCCAGCATTTGTGGTTGTGTTTATTTGCCACATCTAAGTAAAATTTTGTTGTGGCAAAAGCTGGTGTTGGGGTTGCTTTCCTCGTTCGTGACTTCACTGTATCCTGGGGAGCCCACCCCGGTACACGGCTTACAGGTCAGTGCATGCTGAGGCGCACAGTGCGCAGAAGTCACCAACTGTTTTCAGAGTCAATAGCTAAAGACCTCCAAACTTCATGTGGCCTTCAGTTTAGCATAACAGAGTATAAAGAGCTTCATGGAATCCGCCAAGAAAGGTATCGAACATGTGCCTCTTATCATCTAGCAGGATCCTACTGTTAGCAAAGTTATAGGGATATTAGGGGGAAGAATGCTTGCCCCGTGTTCCATCATTGATATAGTAAGAAAATACTCTACTTCCTCATAAGAGTGTTATTTTCTTTGTGACATTGATGCCCTTATAAGGAAGTATTATACTACATATTATCCTACATTAGGTCAGTGACATGATATGTGTCCCTTAAAATTACTTGCTCCTCTCTAGTCATCAGATTTTCTTTGAAAGATAATTTGAATATGTTTGTAGTAACAACAATACAGATTTTCCTTCAGATGTCTACAAAAAAAACTAACTAGAAAGTTATATGCACCATACATTATCCACCCAATTGACTGAAAAATTGTGCTTCCTTTTTAAAACTCTAAAGATTTGTTATGTTCACCATGTAGGAATGATATCTGTACATTCAAACTCTAGAAAACCTCTAACAAGACACTAAGGCAGTGTTAAAGATATAATTTGAATTCTTAAAGAGGACTTCCAAGCTCTCCCCAAAAAATTCACCAGCTAAAAATACTGTAGTTACTGACAGTTAATAAAGGAACACTTACCTGTCCAGGGATCCAGGGATGTCCTGACCCGGGCCGATTCTTTAATTTTGGGTAAGGGAAACCAGCAGTGAAAGCTTCACAGCTGGTTTCCTACTGTGCATGCATGAGCCATGCTGCACTTTGTGAATGGTCCCGCAGTCTGCTAGGGGAAGGAGGATGGAAGGAGGAGGGGGGGCCTAACTTTTGCACATATCATCGCTGCAATCGGACCGACATGGGAGGAGGTGCCTATCAAAATGAGTGAATGGATTGACAGGGGAGCAAGAAAAATTTAAGCATATGCTGATGGTAAAGGGAGCAATAAAGTGAGTTTTTTTTGTCCTATTTGATACAATTCATTTTAAAATGCTAAGGCTTCATTCATGTGCCTGTAAAAAAAAAACACATAAAAGTGTTTTTTAACTGCTTCCCGTCTGCCCTATAGCAGAAACACTGCTACAGAGTGTAAAACATATAAAACAGACTTAAAAATAAATCAATAATAATTCAACCCAAAGTCCAACATAAAGTCCAAAAAAATAGATTAAGTCCACAACCTTGGTAGGTAGATACACACTGATTCGGATCCTAATGAAGATCGATGATGAATCCCAGATACTCTTCATATACCTCAAAAATATAAACCTAGACATAGTGTATTATCTTAGGTCTCATAAAAGTGCCACACGTGCAACATGCAAACACTAAAGTGCCACAGCAATCGTGAGGGATTCAAATAAACACAATTTAAACCACTGCAAACAATACAGTAAAAGTGCATAATTACCCTAAAATAAATGAAACCAGCATAGAATCCATAGTAAGAATGCAGTTTTCTCCAAATGACATCATCTTCTCCAGACACTTCCCATAGACCTCATAAACAGACCAGGGATCAGCGTTTGAATCAAATAACACACAAATTTTATTATAGCAACTTACATTAAAAACCGATAAAATCAGCTTCCAAGTCATAAAGCTGTATATACAGCAACAATACTCAGTGGTAGCTTCAAAGAGATGGCCATTCAACTCTAGACGTCAATGCGTCACTACGTCACGTGCCCCAGACGTGTTTCGTCACATCTGGACTTTGTCAACAGGGATACGGACGTATATGCTCATTTACTTAAATACTGGCTGGTAAAAGGGCGGAAGATCAGCAGTGGCCATACTAAAAAGTGGAAACTCGGACAATAACATACACGTATGCTCATATCCTATAAAATACCGGATGGGAAAAGGGCAAAATACCCACAGAAAGCCATCCTATGATATAATCCAAATATATAAAGCATATACCCTCACACCCTTAAAACAACCCTTTAAAAGAGGGGTAAAGAACGTCAACAGTGGCCATTTTAAAAATTGAAAAAAACGAACATACATTTAGCCATATGGTTAGGGGTAACATCACCACTCTACCATAGGCCATATATCATATCTTTAACCCACATCTTTTCCATAAATGTACCAAAATAATAATACCAAAAAAATAATAAAAATAAATAATACATATAAAATATCACAAAAAAACACATAATATAAAGGACAAAGGACATGGAGAAAATCCCACAAAAACTCTCAAAATATCAGATACTCTACTGATCTGAAATAAAACAGTTCAAGTCCAATTCAATATTGAGACCCCTGGGTTTCAAAGTATTAAGTCTGAAGATCCAGAAGGTCTCATTTTGGGATATCTCCTGCACTCTATAACACCCCCTCCAATGGGCATCAAGTACATCAATTCCACAAAATTTCAATAGACTAGGATCTGAATTATGGAAATTGCGGTAATGTTTGGAAACACTATGTTCTTTCTTCCCTTTTTTTACATTCTCAACATGTTCTTTAAGTCAAATTTTTAGATTTATTTTCGTTCTACCCACGTATTGATTTTTACAAGGGCATTCTAACAGATAGGTCACATATTTCATATTACATGTAATAAATTTCTTGATTGTAAATGTCTCACCCGTAACAGAAGATTTGAACTTTGGGATCTTTTTATCTTTAATACCTGTAGTTTTACATATCTTACATTTTCTGCAGGGAAAAAACACCCTGAAGGCCAAACATCCGTGGTTTTCTAGGGAGGGAGATGACACCCTTTACCAACAAGCTCCTCAAATTCTCACTTTTTCTATATATAAAGGGAGGTTTCTTAGGTAGAATTTTCCCTAAGATTACATCTTTCTGTAACACAGACCAATGTTTTCTAATGATATTTTCCACTCCCTTATACTGACAGCTAAATTTTGAGGTGAAGGCAAATTCCACTGAACTATTCCCTTCCCCTCTTAATTCTCTATTCCTATTATTTCTCTTCATCTTCCCATCACCTATATAATTTAAAGTTACTTTGTATCTAATTTTTTCCAATTGTCTAGGATCATAGCCTTTGGCAACAAAACGTTCTTTAATGGACTCAGACTGTACAATGTAATCCTCCAATCTAGAACAGTTCCTCATGATACGGATAAACTGACCTTTTGGGATCCCCCGAATCCATAAAGGATGATGACAACTGCTAGTAGGAATGTACCCATTCCTATCAGTTTCTTTGAAGAAAGTTTTGAAACACAGTTTATTATTAAACTTGAAAATATGTAAATCTAAAAAATTAGCCCATTCTGTACTAGTATTAGATGTAAAACCCAATTCATATTCGTTTCTACGAATAGACTCTAAAAAAATCTCAAAATCCGAATCCCCTCCTTCCCATACTACCACAATATCGTCAATATAGCGCCTCCAAACTTTAAGACCCATCCAGTTCTTCCCAAAGATCTCAGAGTCCTCCCACTTGGCCAAAAAAATATTGGCCAAGCTAGGGGCAAAGATATATATTTACCAAAGATATGTAGCAGAATACATTTTGGCCTAAATTTATGACTAACTTTCAGTTTACTATATATTTTTTTATAGCCGAAAGTTAAAAATATTGTTTTTTTTTTTTTTCAAAATTGTCGTTTTTTTTTTTTGTTTATAGCGCAAAAAATAAAAAGCACAAAGGTGATCAAATACTACTAAAAAAAGCTATATTTCTGGGAAAAAAGGACATAAATTTTATTTGGGTACAGTATTACATCACCTGGCAATTACTACTTGAAATAGTGCAGTGCTGAATAGCTAAAAAAGGCCTGGTCAGGAAGGGGGGTAAATCCTCTGCAGGGCAAGTGGTTAATTACGGAGCATCATTGTTTTCAATGGATTACCGTATTTTTCGCTCCATAAGACGCACCTGACCATAAGACGCACCTAGGTTTTAGAGGCAGAAAACAGAAAAAAAAATTCTGAACTAATGGACTGCAGACATAGTACAGGAGATGACCAGAGACTGCGGACATAATACAGGAGATGACCAGAGACTGCGGACACAGAACAGGAGATGACCAGAGACCGCGGACACAGAACAGGAGATGACCAGAGACTGCGGACACAGAACAGGAGATGACCAGAGACTGCGGACACAGTACAGGAGATGACCAGAGACTGCGGACAGTTCAGATGACCAGAGACTGTGGACACAGTACAGGGGTTAGACCAGAGACTGCGGACACAGTACAGGAGATGACCAGAGACTGCGGACACAGTACAGGAGCTGACCAGAGACTGCAGACACAGTACAGGAGATGACCACAGATTGCGGCCACAGTACAGAAGATGACCAGAGACTGTGGACACAGTACAGGGGATGACCAGAGACTGTGGACACAGTACAGGAGATGACCAGAGACTGCAGACACAGTACAGGGGAGGACCAGAGACTGTGGACACAGTACAGGAGCTGACCAGAGACTGCAGACACAGTACAGGAGATGACCAGAGACTGCGGACACAGTAGAGGGGATGACCAGAGACTGCGGACAGTACAGGGGATGACCAGAGACTGCAGACAGTACAGGGGATGATCAAGAGACTGCAGACAGTACAGGAGATTAACCAGAGACTGCAGACATAGTACAGGGGATGACCAGAGACTGCGGACAGTACAAGAGATGACCAGAGACCTTTAGGGAGGGAGGGGGAGTGGGTACCTGAATTTGACAGGTACCCGCTTCCACTTCCGTGGGAGCTGTCCTCCCTTTACTGTGGGCACCCGGCTGTGACAGCTGAGAGCCCACTGCGCATGTGCGAGAAGCGCTGCACTTTGTGAACCTGTTATATGTCCCAGAAGATGCCGGACCATTCACAAAACGCAGCGCTTCTCGCGCATGCGCAGTGGGCACCCGGCTGTCACAGATGCCGGCGCGGGAAGAAGCCGGCGAGGGAAGACTGTACAGCGCTGGACCGAGGAACAGGTAAGGTCCTGCATCAGGGAACAGCTGAGTGGCCGGCCCGGTATTCTGACATGGTGGCGGCGGAAATACTGGACCAGCCGATTTATCTCTCACTCCATAAGACGCACTGACATTTCCCCCCCTTTTTTTGCGGGAAAAAAGTGCGTCTTATAGAGCGAAAAATACGGAAATTTCCCTTTGTGAGTATCTCCCCAAAAATGATATTTTTGTTGCAGGGGACGCAAAAAATTGGACTTTTTTGTTGCAGGGTATGCAAAAAATGTGACTTGTATCTTTGCACATGGACACAGTGCAAACATCTGAGAAAATCAGTGAGCCAATCACACAAACAGGAAATTACATTTTCAGGGTTTTTTCTGTGTGCCATCTGTGTACTATATGGCTTGAGTCATAATTGTATACACTATTTTTTATTTGTTAATTTTGTCCCACAAAAGTGGGAAGATAAAAAATCTTAATTTAGAAAACATGAAATTTACGTGCCTAAGTGTATAAGTGAATGTATACACATTTATAAGCACATAAATTAACACTAAACAAAGGGAAAAATAAATTATTATTATATACACAAACATCTTTCAGAGTCTTTACGAGTTTAAATGCATCTGTGTACAAGTATTTTACTGATCATTATGCAGGAACTTTTCTCCTAGAAAACACATGTAATAACATCAATAAAGTATTTATAGTCATGTCAATGAAACCTAAAGCTTTCTTTTATGTAAACAGGAGCTAAAATGTATATATTCTTATTCTTGACAATACAGCAGGCCTATGGTTATGATATTGCATTTTAAAAAATAAAAAGCAAATAAATTTAGTATCATTGTCCTTAGATTGTTTTAAATTAATACTGACCTAAACATATTTAGTAATCTAGCCTTTTTGCTACCTCTGGCTCACTTCCAGTCTAATATACAAAAGCAATCCCCTTACACTTATCTGATGGCTGATTGGGGCTCTCTTGGCTCCTGTTTTGGTGTTACATCTGGCTCTGGGATGACCTGTGTGTTCCCCTATCTGAGCAGGGAATAGGAAACAATAATTAGCAATATTTTACCTTCTATGGAGTCCAGCCCAAACACCTAGACCACAGGAGTGCACAGATCTACCATCTGGAAAAAAGTAGAGAGTTTAAAGGGTCTATTTATAAAAACAATAATTGGACAAATGCCACATTTGTCTAGGTGGCATACATTTTCCCTGTAGTTTTTATAATAGGTTAATTTCTATGATTGTCAGCTCCATCTTTTGGCTAAAATGTGGTATATTTACTTGAGGTATTTCAGAATACTATACTGCATTTCAGAAACTAGATGGAGCTGACAATCATATGAATTAAAGAGGTTGTAAAGACATTTTTTACATTAAAATACTAAACATGTTATTCTTATCTGCTCTGTGCAAGAGTCTCTTCTTGGGTCCCCCTCTGGTGCTTTCCACTCCTCCTCTTCTCAATTTGCCACCATAGGAAGCTACATCCTATTGAGGCACACATATGGGAGTGCTCCTGTGCTGGGCTGGGCTATGTTCGTCCATAGACACACCGCATGACTCATCACCACCCCCTGCTCCCTCTTCACAGGCTTCAGATGAAGAAGAGGCACAGTACAGACTTGAGGCTGCAGGAGAGGCAGTGGCGTAGTAGAGTTCAGACTGTCCATGAAGCAGACTGAACATGCATAGGGGACTGAGACTGTGGATGCAGCAAAGACAGAAGTCTGCTGCAGAAATTGAAGCTGCTGGTGCAGTGGGGACATAGGTTACCTGTGTAGACTTGGCTATGGGTGTAGTGCAGATTTGGCTGTGAGAGCAGTGAAGCCCTGACTGAGAGTGCAGCAGAGGCCAGGCTGTGGGTTTAGCAAAGACTGACTGTTGGTGTTTGTGGGTGCTAAGGCTGTAGACAGACTTTGGTAAGTCAAGAAAGCATAGAGACTCCTTGTTTTAGCTATGACAGAGTGTCTTGCTCAGGCTTAATGGGAAGATGGAGCAATCAAACACTTCATGCGATGTGTCACATAACATGGCTGTGTGTCGGAGATCGCCGCGCCGCTGGGCTCGGCGCAGGCGCAGTACACCTCCCTGTATGCGAGCGCCGGGACTTGGCCGACCGCGGCAATCAGGTTCGCGCATGCGCAGTAGTGACCACGGGCGCACGCCTGGCACCAATGACAGCGCAGGGCGGGATATTTAAACGGCCCTGAGCTGTCATTCAGTGCCTTTTGGTCTCCTTGTATCCTGTGAACCTGTGAACCTGTTGTAGTAAGTTGCTGACCCGGATTGTGCCCTGACCTTGCTGTTTTCTCCTGTTCTTGACCCTTGCTTGCCTGACCTCTCTCCTGAATGCCCCCTATTGGATCTGACCTGCTGTTGCTGACCTGGCGTGTGACCCGACTATTCTTTGCCTGCTGCTCTGTACTGCACCGTCCCCATAGTTACCGACCCGGCTTGTATGACCCTGCACTTGCTCAGCCATCCATCCATCCATCCGTCGCTCTCAACGGGGTCTCCAGACCTCCTCATACCTGGCTCTCTCCCGTGGGAGCCCCTGGCGAATACCCCTACCACTGACGGGTGTCCTCAGTAGTCACGACCTGGTCCTGGGGTACTCCAAGTCCATCCCCACCATCAGGGGCCCTGGTGAACAAGTACTCTGGGGCTTAGACTCCGTGCGCTGGGAACATCCGATCAGTGGAGTGCTAGTGGTACCACCGGGCGGTCCCTTACACTGTGACACTGTGGGGAAAACCCAGAAGTGCCCTAGGCTGACCAAAGGTGAGGATGTGCCAGTGCTGGATAGCAGGAGGTAAGGTACTGTGACATTACCTCCTTTTTACAGAGTCTTCTCACCCATCAAGAGCCTGGTTTCAGAGTGAAGACATAATAGAAGTCTGTACAAGGTAAGGGGCAAAAACATCTAACACCGAGGTCCAGGAGCATTCTTGTGGACTGAAGCATTTCCAATCCAATAAATAAAATAATTTGCCTCTGGAGATCTTGTAAACTAGATTTGCTGGATCTCATATTGCTGGGAGGATGCTGCTCAAGGAGAAAGAACTGGAGTAGGGCTAGAAAATATGTTGATAACCACTTGCCTCAAAAGGGAGGCATAAATGGAATTAGGTATGCAAGGATTAGGAGAAAGACGTAGGATTGAATTTGACTGAGATTTCAAAAAGGAACAATATTTTGTGGAGCACATTTTGCAGAGGACATCTTCTCCAGGCTGTAGAGGGCCTTGCTAGAATTTGAGATAGAGGAATAACGGGCTTCATTTCAGAGAATGAGTCTCTGAAGATGTAAGGAGTGGGAGAGTGCATTTGTTTGGGCATAGCTGGACCTGAGTATATAAGTAATGACAAAATTAAAGAGAGAAAGGAAAAGGTAAAAACATACTGTATAGCAGGGTGAAACATCACTTGCCAAATCATGTAAATTTAAGATGTCCACAGAGCAATGTCTGGGTTGAAACACTAAGTCAAAAAGGATGGAATATCATTGTCAGTTGGAAGTATACTAAAACACAGCTGAAAGGCTAATTATATGTGAAATGGTTTGTGGTTTGAAATGCAAGCAAATACAAATGGATGCATTGGTGTTGATTTATTAAAACTGAAAAGTGCAAAATCTGGTACAGCTGTGCATGGTAGTAAATCAGTTTCTAACGTCAGCTTGTTCAATTCAGCTTTGACAAAAGAAAACCTGGAAGCTGATTGATATCAATGCAGAGCTGCACCAAATTTGGCACTCTCGTGTTTTAGGAAATCAACCCCATTGTGTCCCTCATTCTGACAGCCTGCTTACTAAGCTGTAGTGTTGTATAGACACAGTACTTGATTTGGAGGCAGGTAAAACTCAGTCTTGCTTTTCCAGATAGCTCCTGGGGGTAAAAGACGAGGACTGGAATCTTTCCACAAGTTAATATTTCAAGTTGTGTGCAGGGTGCTGGCCGGCCTCTGTGAGAGATCCAATACATGTGTAATTGTGTCTGTTGGTGTCTGTGGGCTATCATTCATCTACCAATTTCAAGAATCAGCGGCTTCTTTCCTCAGGATGCAGTGCCGTGCCATGTTCTTGCCTCTTATTTAACTCCCCCTCTTTTCTTAGAAAAATTCTGCTTTATATTCACCAACTGTTATCTTGGTGAATAATGTCTTAGTTTAAGCCAGTATAATAAATGTAAAGCTTCACTTTATTAGGATTCAGGTTAAAATACTAAATATCCCAAATAAATTAAAATAAGTTATTAATCAAAATATATAAAAAGAAAAATTTAAAAATCTCTAAATATGGTGGACTATATTTGGAATGGAGTTAATTGGAGTATTTTGACTAAATACAGTATGCCCAATAGACTGATATATATTTATGTAGTGAAAACATACCAAGACCACAGCTCCACTTCATACCTTCATGATGTGTGAATAAACAGGGTGCCTGCTCAAAAAAAGCCAATTTCAGCTCACCATTAAAGGTATTGATGAATGGAAGCTGCACTCCAGTGTATGCTCCTCCAGGCATTTTATTAAGTCATTGTCAATACAGCTGCATTCATAATGTCCCCACCCAGGAAACACCATTTTTGGTGAAAAGGCAGCGGTAGTTCTTGGGTGGCGACATTACGGGTGTGGCTGTATTGATGATGACTGTGTAAAATTCCTCCAGGAGTATATACTGTAGCATGGCTTTCATTCATCAATAAATATGTATGGTTTTAAATGATTAAAGCCTAGTAAAGAGGGAAATAGAGGATGATGAAAGTATAAAATGTATTTAAAGTCTATTGAAAAAATTGAAGCCCTGTCTCAAAATATATAAAAGTTGTATAAATATATGTACTCATATGG